GGGGGCCCGCCCCGAGGCTGAGGTTCATGTCATCCGTCCCAGGAGCGAGGCCACCCTGCGGGGCCTGGAGCCCGACTCTTCGTACCGCATCAGCCTGAGTGCCGTGGGCAAGAACGGGCTGAGGGGCCGGGCCGTGATGCTGGTCTGCAATACAACAGCGGAGGGTAGGTCTCCCATGGCCCCCAGGAAGAGCTGCCAGGTTCCCTGGAATTTTTTCAATCCATGTGCAGAATAAATTTTGTTCCATGCACCGAGGTATGTGCAGATGTGCACCACCCATAGAACACACAGGGTAGGAGTGCCGTGGGCAAGAACGGGCTGAGGGGCCGGGCCGTGATGCTGGTCTGCAATACAACAGCGGAGGGTAGGTCTCCCATGGCCCCCAGGAAGAGCTGCCAGGTTCCCTGGAATTTTTTCAATCCATGTGCAGAATAAATTTTGTTCCATGCACCGAGGTATGTGCAGATGTGCACCACCCATAGAACACACAGGGTAGGCTGTAGGCACCCTGCTAATCAGTTGAGCGGCATTTGACTCTCTCCTGGGTGGCTGCCAAGAACACTGCCCTGAGCGCGGAGGGGGACCAGGGCTCGGGACGGGTTGCTAGTGAAGCTGCAGCGCTGGGACGGTAAGACAGACTGAGCCATGCCCCGTCCCTAACGCCCCCGGGCTTGCTGGGCTTCCACTGCAGTTCTGCCTCCGCCGGTGCACACAGACGTCCCGCAGGTCTCTCCCCAGATGCGTTCGGCGAGGAAAACGGGCGGATCGAGTACTACGCCGTTGTCGCCACCACCAACGCGTCGCGTGAGTGCCCGCCTCCTGCCTGCTGCGCACAGGTCCCCGCCGGGCCGGGGCCCTGCCGCTCACACGCCTGTGTCTCTGCCGCCAGTGGTGAGGCCCACCCGGGAGATGGTCTCCAGCACCTGGTTCGATCACTACTACGGGCAGAAGGACTCCTACGTGGCGGTGCTGCTCGCCAGCCCTTTCCAGCCGGGTGAGAGACGGGCTGCCCAGCCCTGGGCGGTGCCTGTGGGAACGCAGGAGTGTGGCCAGTCCCGGGAGATCTGCAACGGGAAGCTGAAGGCGAACGCAGAGTACAGGTGGGCGCGGGAGGGGACCCTGCTCTGGCAGGCAAGGCAGGCTGGAGTGGGACAGGGAGCGAGACGGCCTGCTGGCCCTCGTGCCCCGAACAGCTTGGCTCAGTGGGGCAAGGTGAGCTCTTGCTCGGAGCCGGCTGCCCCGGGTGCTCCGTCTCCTTGCTGGCTTCCCTTTCCCCTGCGCCGCGTTCGGTCTGCACGGGGCTGGAAACCCAGGGCAGAGCCGGACCGAGCCTGGGGCTGACGGCTGCACTTGGCTCTGCCCTAGGTTCAGCATTGCTGCTTTCACCAAGTACGACCGGGTGGAGCCTTCTGTGTCCTTCACGAGATTTTCGGGTAAGGCAGAGTCTGTCTGCGGGCAGCGGGGGCTGTGCTAGCTACGCCCGCAGCCCTGTCTGCAAGGGGGGGTCTTTAACTGCCACTAAGGGCTGGCGGAAAAGCTCCGAAAGGAGCCTCCGAAGCGTAGATTACATTTAAGAATCCAGGACTCGAACCCAGGTCTGCCCAGTTTTGGGGCAGAGCCCTAACCACTAGGCCCTCCTTCCCCTGCGAGCCCGATCTCTGGCGATCCTGGCTGCTACGCCCGCAGCCCTGTCTGCAAGGGGGGGTCTTTAACTGCCACTAAGGGCTGGCGGAAAAGCTCCGAAAGGAGCCTCCGAAGCGTAGATTACATTTAAGAATCCAGGACTCGAACCCAGGTCTGCCCAGTTTTGGGGCAGAGCCCTAACCACTAGGCCCTCCTTCCCCTGCGAGCCCGATCTCTGGCGATCCTGGCTGTGACTTGCACTGGGCAGGCCTGGGCCCGTTGGCCGCGCCCGCGGGGAGGCGTTGGAAGGCCTGGTATATTGCCCCGGTCTTTGTCCTCAGCGGCTGGCGCTGGCGCAGACCCCAGTCCTGTTGTGGTGCCCGTCGCGGCTGGGATTGGCGCGGGCTTCCTCCTGACGTTCGCCGCCCTTTTCGGATGGGTCTGCTGGAAG